GTGCTGTATTTTCAACAACCCCAATACCAAACACCATTTCCTACAATGTCATAGTTAAAGGGAGACTAAGAGGAAAAGCCACTGGCTGAGATGCCCCACTCAGAATGCCAGGATTTGAAGACAGTGCTGGGTTGTGTCCTTCCAGCCCACCTCATCTCCCTTTCTGGAATGTCACTGCCTCTGAAACCCACAGTTAATATGCACTCATTCCTGTCACGATACGGCATTCAGTAATAGCCAGTTAAAATCTATCACTAAGTAATTAATTGATCAGTTCCCTGTCAACAGCCTGCCTGGCAAATGAAGCTGGGACCCAGCTGTGATGGCAGACAGCAAAGAACCCTGGAGCTCTAAAACCCAAGCTTCACCAGACTCAGGCCTTCGTCTGCCCACCATAGACAGGGGGTGCAAGTGGTGACAGTGGTGGCCACTGCCCATCCACTTCAGAGTTCTTCAGGCTCATTCTGAGGGTGGCCCTTCCATGGCAACTGTCCCATCACACCCCTGGCTCCCATTGGATAATTGCAAGGCAACTTGGGAATGGCAGACTAGGTTCTTGCAGACAGCTGGCTTGCAGAAGATGGTAAGTCATACACAGCTTGCTCAGCCGCACGAAGCCAGGACTCTGAGCCAGGCTCCAGCCTTAACACCCGACTGAGAACACTTCCCGAGTCCTCACAGGGACAGGCAGACCGCTGTCAGTGCCTGCTCATAGTAATCCAGACTGACTCCAGAGTCTAACCCTGTCTCCTGCCTCAAGGCTGAGGTATCATTGTGGCCCTGATGACTGTAGCCCATCTCTGCCAGGTCTCTCCCACCTGGTGGGTGAGTGTATACCAGCTTCTAATGAGGCTGACTGCACCTCAGGACTCAGGTGGCGCAGTCTGGTGGTGGGGTGTCTGCTCTGACAGGCTATCCCTTCTGTTGAGAAGAGAGCTCCTGCTACCTTTGCTAGTCCTGTGGGCAGTCCTGCCCTTCATAGGTATTTCTTGAGCATAGCAGTAGTTTGAATGCAACTGACCGCATGCGATCATAGGGAGTGGCACTATTGGGAGGTGTGGCCTTGTTGAAGGAAGTGTGCTACTATGGGGGTGGGCTTTGAGGTCTCTTGCTTAAGCTTCACTAAGTGTCACAGTCCACTTCCTGTTGCCTTCTGATTGAGATGTAGCCAGCACCATGTCTGCTCACACATCACCATGCTCCCCACCATGCCGATAATGGACTGAACTCTGAAACTGTTAAGTGAGCCGCCCCAATCAAATGCTTTCTTTATAAAAGTTGCCGTGGGCACGGTGTCTCTTCACAGCAATAGAAACCCTGACTAAGACACAAGCACCTGCAAGGTTTTAGGTATAATGCTAGAGATTAGGGAAATGGAGATAAAGGGTTCAGATGAGGCCCTGTTCTCTCAGCAGTACAGTCAACAAGATCACATCACTCAGTGGCAGCTGAAGACTTGGAAGAGCCCAAACCAGGGCAGCAATGGAAGCCTGGGGCACCGGGATGATGACTTGAGTGGGAAGAGAACTGTGAAGTGTCTAGGGGAGGGAGGACGCCCACAGGGTCTCAGAAAGATGGCCATGGCCTTCCCCATGTGGCCCTTGGTAGTTGCAGGCCAGCTGGGAGCTGGGAGAAGAGATTGTGGAGGTGAGCGAGCAATGGGTAGTCTGTTGGCGGTCTGCTCTGAGTGGGGCCTACCGTCTAGAGTCAGAATAGAGTCCCAGTCTTTCACACAATCGTGGGCTCAGGACATTCTCTAGGTCACCAGGAACTACAACCAAGGTCTTCAGGCTCCAAGGGAGTTCTTGGCTCCCTGTCATACCCTCCTCAGCTCTCAGCAAAGCCACCGCCTCAGAAGTTCCCATGCAGAAGCTGGTAAGTTGACTCTTGGGATGTGCCTGGCAGTCCCTCCCATCTCCTTTTCATTCAGCCAGGAACCCTGAGGGAGCCTCCATCTGTTAACCAGCAGCACTTAGAGGCGACGGCCAGGTTGCCCTGAGGATTAATGACACTTCTTAAGTGCCCCCAGATGGACTCTGTAGAGGATGGCAAGTGTCATCACTGAGGGGAAAATGTGCTTGGTTCTATACCATAAT